AAATAAACAATCACTGACGTGTGTAGTAACAAAGGGACACAGGTGAACTGATATAGCGCATTGCATTACATGTAATATTACAAAATGTCAGAAAAGAACTGCCCATTTTGCCCACAGCGACTAATCCACTGCTACCTTATTCTACCTTCCATTTGGTAACCTTCACTGACTATGTGGGAAAAAAATAATAAGGCCAATGGTTTACTATGCACAAAACAACCACTTGATGGATAATATCTATTAGGCTTCTTTTTGTCTATTCACAAACAGAACAGATTATGTAAAATCCAACTTGTAGCAGTCGTAGAATATTAAACCAGTCTCTGGTTGAACTACTTCTCCAAAAGAAAAGAAGAAAAATACATTCTATCTATCTATTACACATATTGATATCATATCACAGAGTACAGGCCAACTCGACTCCTGGCTACTTCCTATAAACAGCAAACAGGAAGGTCTGGGATCAAGCTATTAGATGAATACTTCAACTTATAACTGCAAGGAAAGACTGAATTGTTTTTGTATTAAATGTGCTTTTGGCTTTGTACACTTTCCTGGAAGTTAGAAATTGCAATAGGCAGTATTACTAGCCAAGAAAGGGAAAAGTTGCATAAATCATCCCAAGCAACATAATCTTTGGAAATCACTCCTAAATGTCTCTTACCAAGCAGAAGAGCTTCAACTGAACATATTACATAAGAAGACAAGCAAAAGGTAGAAAATTACAATGAAACCTATATTAATAATATAAAGACTGTTGAGCCAATTAAGCCTGTTGCTGAAATGCACTTTAGTTTATTTTGGGTAATCCAGCAGCATAAAGAACTCACCATGTAGAAGGGCCACATACAGGAAAACAAAATATTAAAGGAACACATTTTACTCATACAGACATGTAAGATCTGCAACTGCTTGTCTGTGGCTTGGCCATCAATTCAATTGGGTACATATGCTGTGAAGAAAAAATAGCCTTTTCTTTGGAAACAGATTGCATAATGACTACAAAGATTTCAAATTGCTTCTTGGAACACTTTGGGGATGCTTTCCAGCACTCATTATCTCTCAGGGGTTAACCCCTAAATTCTCCCATAATTGGAAGTAATTTTTGCATCAGATACTTTACGTGCAGATATTTTCCATGGTATTTTCATGTTATGCTTTGGCAGATAACAGCATTAAGTCTGCTTACACCATTGTGGGCCTGAAAGTAGATGGGACAAGCCAATACTGAAGAACTCTGAGTCCAGTCAGTAGCACATGTAGCACTAATTATACGTCTCACATACATCCAATGAAGCACATAGTGCCTGTTATTAACCATTAAACATTATTTCATAAATTTGATGCAAACCTGATATCTTTAGTATTCTAGTATTAACTGATCATTCAGTGGTGCACCTTCATTGCCATCGGCACAGGTACCCTGAACACAGAGTGATTACTTTGAAGAGAAACTGAACTCTAGAAACTGCTCTGCAAAAAGGGCACAGGGCTAATTGTATGTAATGCGCGAGGTCTGCCTACAGGTGATCTTTTCCTCACTCACTTACCATGCTTAGTTCTGCACTGTGTCCATGTCCGGGCCTCCAACAAAGATAACAGTGAGCAGCACAAAATTGATATCAGCAAATATCACTTCAAATATCCTAAATCTAGCAGTCACAGACAGCAGTGCGCCTTATACTTCACACTGCAGATATTCTGCTATTAGGATATAGGTTGAGGAGTACCTTGAAACACTTGCATACAAAGAAGTGTAATGCTTTTTTCAGGAGGCATTTAAGGCAAAAGTTAACGTTTTCAGGGTGCTCTAAACAATGTTATAAGGAATTTTTATAAATGTTCCTAATGACATGGCAAATCCTCTCGCCTCGAGTTCAGGTCCACTTTACCAGTTTATGCTTATTGGGAGCCTCAGTACCATGCCTATGCCCCAGGCATCAAACTCATAAGCACGGCAACCTGGCAGCCTTTTTAACCAAAGCAGCACTTGTGAAAGATCTCAGATCTTCTCCCCTACCCCTGTTAAAGACAACACAGTCAGTGACAGTACATCATGCACCTTCAGGCTTTGGTGTGGTTTATACCTCTTGATCGTATATAGTTCCAGTGCTGACTTGACAGTAAGTGTAATATTTTTATACACGTCTATTTTTCCTTTTATTGTTTAAATATATGGATCGCATTCTTATAAAAATAAAGGTGTGAAGATTGTTTCTGCCATTGCTTTAAATGATTTTCTAAATATGCCCAGCAATGGAATGTAATTATATCTGAGATATGGAATTTCATGTCTGGACACAATGAAGAGCCCCGGGTAATGAGGAGATAGCATCTTCAGTCAGCACAAAGTTATGCTAAATACACCGTTATGAGGGTGTGTATTTACAGGGAAATATTACATCTCTACAGCAGAAAGTTTTTACTCTTAGCACCTCTAATGTAAGTAGATCTATCTAAAAAGATAATGGGGTAAACATAAATATGCCTATTGAGTGAAGCAGTACAAAGAACAATGATCTTTCGTATAGTAACCAATTGTTACCTAAAACAAATCTTTTAAGCATACATAGTTACATGATTGATTTTTTATGGGTTACTGCACTTTGTACGCCTTCCTTGCCATTTACACTGCCATACTGTATGCATGTTAAAGTGAATCTGTTGGCTATAAAGAGGAACAGAAGCCATCTTGTATCATTTCATAATATTACATTTTTACTGAAATCTAATAAGGCCATTAGGGCTGGAGATACCATGTTAATGGTGAAGCAGTATGAGATTTCTAGATGTTCACAAAATCCCAGACAGATTTGTTTTGGACTATGTCCAACCTCACACGCTCACTATTTTTGCAAGTTTTGGCGAGTAGCACTCAATTGGTTTTAAAGGTGATCAGTAATTACTAGTAATTCACCAGTGGACCACCTTGGGAAACCTCTAAAAACTTAACTTTAGCACACAATAGGTAAACTGAGATGCCACTAACATCTGAATGCATGTTAAAACTTGAGAACACATGCTCTTGCATTACAGACATTTTAGGTCTTCTTACACCCAGAGGCTCTCTTCACTCTCATAAGAGACTGGCTCACAAATGGTCATAACCAGAAACAGACTGGTTTTCTCCCTGGGCTCAGGTATGCTCTATGATCACAAGAGATCACCAGGTATGTACAGTATGTGATTTAATACATCCCAATGCCTAGGTGACAGTCATATTAAGTGGCATTATAAAGGGTGCTGGTGCATCAGGAATCTTAAAGGGTTTCTAAACCCTCAATATTTTTGCATATATCTACTGCTCGCAAGCAGTAGATATATGCAAAACGTTTTTTAAAAAAAGAAAAAAACGCTTTAAAAGCGGTTTAAACTTACCGCTGTCTTCGCCGCGCGCTCCCGTCCGAAAATCCGAAACTGCTCAGGCGGCCTCAAAGCATCTTGGGGCGGGCGGATGCGCAGTTTGGAATTTCGTCCGGGAGACGAGGAGAGACGCAAGGTAAGTCTATGGATGCGTGCACCCGCATGCAGACACCGTGGGGCAGGAAGTGCCAGCAAGGACAGAGGAGTCAGTGCTGGATCGGAGAGACACGCAGCAGCGCTGGAGAGAAGGCTGAAAAGGACAGGAAAGAAGAAGAAGATCGGATTAAGAGACAACATTTAAGGTAAGTGTTTTACTTAACATTGGGGGGAGGGAAAAAAATATTTGACTTTAATGTCACTTTAATACTTTGTTTTAAATGCACAATAAAAATCAGAACCAAATGTTTTCAGTTATTAGGACTAGAGGGTGGACTGTTAACTGTTATCAACCAGATTCCACTTCTAATTTTCCAGGGCACCACAACTTGTATTTCCTATATTCCACTAATGTAAAACACTGAGTTATACAAAACATATTCACTTTTAACTATAAAATATAGTTATTTTTAATAAAAAATATTAAAGGTAATATAAAATATACATACATACACACACACACACACACACACATTTCTCGCTCCATAAGACGCACTCCCCCCCGTTCGGGCGCCGGGCGTGTAGTTTTTTTGTACATTTAGCCCTGCTCCTGACAAGCAGAGCTAAATGTACAGTGGGAGCATTTTTTTTCATGTGCATTAAATTCTCACAAACGTGTAGTGAATCTGCTACATGAGCTACTTTTGCACGTTTGTCACATGCATGCGTGTTTCACCCGTTGAAATAAATCGGTGACGTGCAGCAAACATTGGAAAAAGCACACACAAAAGAAGCAGGGGCGTCCCGAGGCTGGGGGACACCCCGCCGTGTCGTCATTGCGCATGCACGGCCATCTGATTGACACCTGCCGGCGGCCATCTTGGTGATGGGGACCGGCAGAGAGAGGAGGGGACGTTCACCCGGCGGGATGAGGTATGCCGCCGGTCCCCTCCTCTCTCCTTATAATGTCGGGCTCTCGGTCCATTACTTTTTAGAGGGGGTGACACCAAAATGACCGTCAGTCATTTTGGTGTCACCCCTGCAATGGTGTCACCCCCCCAAACAAGGCACACGTTTGCGGGACGCAAAGGTGTGAACAGGGACTTAAAGTTCTTTACTGCTTGCAAAGAAAATGTAAAAATATGTAACCCCAGCATGCAATAGGGAGGGTGGGAGATACTTATAATAGCCACAGGAGGTGTGGATTACTGGAAACTAAATCACTGATCTCACCATTATTAGATTTCATGAGAGACATAAAAAACCTGTTTAGCATTCATCACAAACGATATGATCGGTTTTAGGTGGATGGGCTCTGTAACATGAACAGCTATGTGTGTTTGTGCTGCAGATTCATTTTCATCCGTTTGTTTTAGGAAGCCAGGGGATTTCTTTTAAGCGGACATTTGTAACTTCCTGTTGTGTTTTGGTCATTAGACATACAGGCTGTTGACCGGACTGAAGACATTCAAGGAAACAGCCGGGCACTGGAATCCCACCGGTACAGAGCTATGATATTTGTATGAAAAGGCTGAAATTACCTTTTTTTCTTTGTGATGATCAGCACGTCATTGAAGAGGAAGAAGTAGACTTGCTGCTTTGTCGTTCTCTTGGAGAAAATGCCGGTGTCCTCTACATAGGATGTGAGCTCACCCCGCTTCATTAACCACCGCGAAGAAGACACCAATGGAAAGGGCTAAACAAGCAGAGTATACATTGTCAGTGGGGAGAAAAGAGGACTATATCATTGTAAATAAACATTACAAATTACATATAAAGAAGGTCATATCGGCTCATAAGAATGATGTCGCTCTCAGTTCATAGGCGAAAAGCATAGGGGATGCAGAAAATGCAACTGTCACTTGGGCTTGAATTTATTAGGGTCAAGCGAAACAGGGGCATCCCGAGGCTGGGTGTCACCTGGAGCGGAGACTGGGTAACACCCCGCCGTGACGTCATCGCACATGCGTGTGATGTTGCAGCGTGTGCACGATGACGTCATCGCGCATGCGCAGTCTTATTGACGCCTGCTGGTGGCCATCTTGGTGATGGACGCCGGCAGAGAGAGGAGGGGACGTTCACCTGGCAGGATGAGGTATCCCGCCGGTTCCCCTCCTCTCTCCTGACACTGTCGGGCTCTAGGCCCGTGACCGAGTGCCCGACTTTTCATAGGGGGCGACACCAAAATGACTGTCAGTCATTTTGGTGTCACCCCTCTAATGGTGGCACCCGGGTTTAGGCCGCACCCGGACAACCCCCTTGTGATGGCACTGAGCGTAAAGTGAACCTGGTGCCAGGCTATGGGCATTCAAATATTTACATATTCTTAAATGAATAGCTATTTTAAAAAATGCAGTGCTTCCCTGCAATACATGCACGTTTTTCTGGGTTGTATCCCTTTCAAAATCCTGCAAGTACAGCAAAATGTCTGTCGATCCGCAAGAAATACTCTCAACTCTTAAACTCTTTTTTGACAAAACATAGACTTTTTGGGGTCTCAGTGGTGTCAACCCTGCCCAGTATCTTTTGCTAAACTACTCAACTTTCAGATCTCTACAACATAAAAGGCTTTTCATTCTGTAGTCCAAGATAAGAACAGCAAAGACTAAAAAGACAATTTGTAACACAGGAAGTGTGCAAAGGAGACAGAACAGCTCTGAATTTCTGCGTCGATATAACGAAACGCTACCAATGGACTATTTAACAGACCAAAAGGGAGCAAACAGGAGCAGTTTATTGTTAAAGTAGAATTAAGCACTGAATCTTTTTAGCAAGCAGTAGATATTTTGCAAAAACAAAATAAAAAAGTGACCAAATAGGTTATTACTTACCTGTGTTCCCTGCAGCCTGTCTCCTACTCCGCTGCAGCAATGGTATGTCCCTTGCCGTGCTCACATGCTATCCTATATACAGTGTATAGAACATAACGGGCATGGCAAAGGACAGGGCTTTGAGCCGCTGCAGCAGGGAGAGGCCCCAGGGACCGGTGTAACAGCAAGCTGGCTCAGAGGATAAGGTGAGTATAATTTTGTTATTTTTGACCCTAGGCAAAAAAAACAAGCACTTAACCCTTGCAGTGTGGGGGTAGCCCCACTGAAAGTGTTAATAAAACAAAATTACCTGCAGTTCTTCTTTAATGGGGCTCACCACCATGTGTTACTCTAAATGTGACTCACAAACTGGTGTAAGGATAAAGCTGAACTCCAGGCACATCTGATTTAAATATGTTCTTTAGTAGCCACACAGAATAAAAATCAACTTTGTTTGCATCAAATACGTTTACAAACCCAGTTGGTACCTTGTAAAAGTAGTGATGCTGCACAGAGCTTTGGGCTCACTCATTACAGGCTGCCTGTAGAAAACTACAGGACTACAGTCACTTTGCACAAGTAGCGAGAGCACTACTGACTTAACACAGAAAGCTCCTGTACAGAGGTAAAGTTTCACAACAGATTACTGCACAGATGTGGAAGAAGTGCACAAAACACACCAAGGTTGAAATACGAACATACATGGCTCTTGTATTGAGACGCTATTTGCTTATCCCAGAGCTCACATTTTGTAGTGCTACAATATAAAACAGCAAGTCTAAATGTAATAGAAGAGTATGGGTCAGCATTATATGATTAAACAAAATCAGAACTTGATTACATACCCATTAAGGCTGCTCTGCTTTTTAATATGTCTTGTCATCATCTCACACTCATTTAATTATCAGTATTTAATATTTTAATGAAGGGTTAATGACTACAAAGAGTAAAATAATGGATCTCTTGGTTCTAAGCCAGACCATGGGACTGGTGGATGCCTGATCAAATGTCTTTACACCGTGCCAAGACACTGGAGGGCAATGCGCCAGCACTGCTAACTCCTTTCCTAAATGAAAGTCGACTGTTTCCTGTGAAGGGTCAATGCAGCGAGACAGTTTAGATGGAAAAAAGCAAGCAGGCTCAGCCAAATTAACCCATCCTCTGCCAAAATGGAATATAGGCTATATTTATCAACAGCCCTATAAGCCTTCAGTAAAATCAGCAAGATTATACAAAACGAAGGATGTTTTTGTTATATAATGGTGGTTCTGCCCCTGCTTTGCTAAAAGCTAGAAATTGAAAACTTCAAAAAGAACCAAGTGTTTCAATTTTTTCCCCTAATCTGAAATCCAAAGGAATGTCAAATATGACAATCTCTAGTGAGATACTGTACTGCTATGAGCATTCTGACTTTTCTATATGACAATACATATATCATGCTGATATCTACTGTATACTGGACTGGGTAATGTGTTAGGAACGAAAGGATGCCACATCGTTTGATGAAAATGAAAAATGATCAATCTACAGAGGGCTGAATTCAAAGACACCCCAAAAATCAAAGTGAACGAATGATGCAGCAGACTAGACCATTGTGCTGACATTTCATTGCAGCAACTCAAAATGGTACCCATTAGTTTGTATGGCCCCCAGGTGCTTGTAAGGATGCCTGACAACGTCGGGGCATGCTCCTAATGAGATGACAGATGGTGTTCTGGGGCATCTTCTCCCAGATCTCGACCAGGGCATCACTGAGCTCCTGAACAGACTGGGGTGCAACCTGGCGGCGTCTGATGGACCGAGACATAATGTCCCAGAGGTGTTCTATTGGATTCAGGTCAGGCGAGGGTGGGGCCATTCAATGGTATCAAGTCCTTCATCCTCAAGGAACTGGCTGTATACTCTCGCCACATGAGGCCGGGCATTGTTGTGCACCAGGAGGAACCCAGGACTCACTGCACCAGCTTTTGGTCTGACAATGGGTCCAAGGATTTCATCCCGATACCTAATGGCAGTCAGGGTGCCATTGTCTAGCCTGTAGAGGTCTGTGCGACCCTCCATGGATATCCCTCCCCAGACCATCACTGACCCAGCACCAAAACGGTCATGCTGAACGATGTTACTGGCAGTAGAATGTTCTCCATGGCTTCTCCAGACCCTTTCACGTCTGTCACATGTGCTCAGGGTGAACCTGCTCTCATCTGTGAAAAGCACAGAGCGCCAGTGGCGGACCTGCCAATTCTGGTGTTCAATGGCAAATGCCAATCAACCTCCACGGGGCTGGGCAGTGAGCACAGGGCCCACTAGAGGAAGTCGGGCCCTCAGGCCACCCTCATGAAGTCGGTTTCTGATTGTTTGGTCAGAGACATTCACACCAGTGGCCTGCTGGAGGTCATTTTATAGGGCTCTGGCAGTGCTCATCCTGTTCCTCCTTGCACAAAGGAGCAAATACTGGCTGATGGGTTAAAGAGAACTTTGGGGTCAGGTTTTTCCCCATAGTTCTCCTAAGGGTAACGGGAGGACACAAACTAGCGTCCTCACGTCACCCTACACTCAGTATACCGCGAGTATACTGAGATGCCGCAGCCGGGACGTATCCCGACATTGTCAAGATCCACCCAGCTGCGGCATTGACAGCTGGCTTTGCCTATCTAGAGGTAGAGCCAGCTGTGCCCGCCCCCTCCCTGTCCGTTCCGCCAGTCAGCGCTGGAGGATCGGAGCGGGGAGGGGGGAAATCCATGCAGGGAGCTGTGAGTGACAGTCACGGCTCTCTGCAGGGATAGATCGAGAAGTGAGCGAGCGGCACTATGTGTTCGCTCACTTCCCAATCTACTGAGCCAACCTGTGACAGTTTCATTGTCACAGGTCGGCTAGAACTATGAGGCTGAGTGATTTTCACTCGCCTCATAGTTCTCCTTTAGACCCCGTTCACATTGAGCGATTTATCGCGCGGTAATTCCCGTGATATCGCGGCAATTTACCGCACGATATCGCTCTCTAATGCTTCTCAATGGGGCAAAGGGTCCTGCTGTTGTGGGTCGTGTGTCGCTACAGCAGGACCCTTTTTGGAGCGGATTTAGCCGCGATTCAAGCTTGCTCAATGCAAGCATTTGCGCGATATCGCGCAAAATGCAAATCGCGCGATTTGCGAACCGCTCAATGTGAACGGGGCCTTAAGGGCCTTCTACGGCCCTGTCCAGGTCTCCTAGAGTAGCTGCCTGTGTCCTGGAATCTCCTCCATGCTCTTGAGACTGTGCTGGGAGACACAGCATACTTTCTGGCAATGGCACATATTGATGTGCCATCCTGGAGGAGTTGACATGCCTGTGCAACCTCTATAGGATCCAGGTATCGCTTCATGCTACCAGTAGTGACACCGACTCTAGCCAAATGCAAAACTTGATTACCAATGTAGAGGGGAGTTGCAAAACACTGCACTGTTAAATAAATGAAGGGGGGTTAACAGCACTGATACCAATGTGAGGAGTGGAAAGTTAGTACTTCCATGGACACAAATGCTGGGAATTATTATTGTGTCTACAGACATTGATGCTGGGAGTTGGTGCACTGATACCAATGTTGGGGGTTATTATTGCATCCACTGAGTCCAGTGCTGGGGTTTTTTGAATGCATCTACCAATGCCAATGCTGGGGGTTATTACTAACAGCCCTGACAACAGTGTGTGTGTCCACCAATGCCTATGGTGGAGATTATAAATACATCCACCAATGCCAATGGTGGGGGTTATTACTGCATTCACCGATGTTATTGGTGGGGGTTATTGACAAGAATGCTGGGGGTTTTTATTGTGGCCACTTACATCAATGATAACTTCAACGTTTTCCTCAGAAATTTTCAGCCAATGAGATGTGTTACAACAGTTCA